ACTTCATGATTGAATCAGTATAAGATAAGATCTTGCAGAAATCAACCACAAACGGATGACCACCGAAGCATCGATAAAACGATAACACGATGTCACGCTTTCCTCCCATCCTTCTTCTAACACGTAATGATTCAATCAGTATAAGATCTTGCAGAAATCAACCAGAACCGAATGACGTCAACAGCACCGAAGCATCGATAACACGATAACACGATGTCACGGAGCATCGTTGGAGAGGAAATGATTTCTCTCTTCCCATCCTTTTTCCAACACGTCATGCTTCAATCAGTATAAGATCTTGCAGAAATCAACCACAACCGGATGACGTCAAAACACTTACTGTACTGTAGAAAGCACTTGATATGTTATGAAATTACATCCGATGTACCAGTTTACGCACAATATCTAGTCTTACGAAGAAGACCGTTTTTTTTTTTCATTTCGTTGGAGAAAATAAGTTTCTCACACAATCTTAGAAACACTCTAAACCGAACCCAAACACATCAATCAAAAGATAATTATGCGTTTCTCTTCCGTAAGCGTTGCCGCCCTCTCCCTCAACTATGACATCTGGTTTGTCCATGGAGGAAAGAACCCAATTGGTTCGTATGAGGTATTGCAAGCCGGTGATGGTACTGAAACCTTGCCATATGGCAAGGTGGAGACCCTGAAGCCATTCTCTGGAAAAATCTTTATTGAGTCAAGTTCCGATACCTTCTTGTCCGGTGCTGAGAAGAAAGAAGTCACCGTCGAGTTGTTTGCAGGTGTGGAGGATGGTAGCCCATGCGTAACAGGTGACAAGATCGTCCCTTTCGAAGGTACTGACGGAAACGCAATTCGAACAGACTACTCTGCCGCTTCTTCATCCTCCTACCTTCCATCCAAAAAAAATGGAATGATCGGTACGTTGTAACTTATGCTCTTTTCATTAGCCATGTGCAGTACCCGTCACGCACCGAAACTAATGTTCCGTGTTTTTTTTAATATTTATTTTAGGTACTTCTACGTTCTCTATTGACGACATTCGTGATCCAAGACTGCCATCTCAAACCTTTACTACCAGCGATGGCGTGAATGGGCTAATCAAACTCTGTGAGTAGCATATTTTGTGGCTTGGTGCTTCTGCCTCGTGCAGCAACGGTGCCCGCAACATTGTTTGTAATATTGATTCCTAACTAATTTTTCTTTCATGGCCCGATCCGAAATAGGCGTTCGTACTTCCATTAAAAATCTAGCCGGTCTAGACTACGTATCATTTGTCGACTCCTATGTGGAAGTGGACGTTGATTTCACTGCCAGTTTCGAAAATTTTGACCAAACAATCTCGATTGCTGGAACCACTGGCAAAGAATTAGCTGACGATCGTTCAATGATCATCGATGTTGAGTCCTTTGTGTGTGGCGACAGCGGCATCAATGACGGAATGCCGTATGATTCAAACTACAAGATTGGTCAAGAGTTCAAGGTTTGTGTGCGTCCCGTAGAAGAGTATAGAACCATCTATAAAGTCATTGGTTTTAAGGATGTTGTCTGTGGCGAAGCCGACGCTGAACAGCAACTAGTTAACCAAAACGGTGAGGGAAATGATCTGATAGAGATCTTTGTGGGTGCTGAGGTTGCAGGAAGCAAGGACTCAAGTGGGGAGAATGAAATGGGATTAAGTGCAGCAGCATTTCGGAGTGTTTTAGTAGCACCCTATTTTGGAGAAAATCCATCCACTGATTCCTTTTTCTCGTGCAGTGGTAAAGTAGAATTGGGGTCCTTCTCTCCACCCCCCCCCGCGGTTGACAGTTTCAACGAATTTTTAGGTCATGATGCATTTGGCAATGATCTCAAGGAAGTCGAAGATACGAATCGGGAAGGAGCGGCGAATGCTTGCCTGGAATTACCAGAATGCGTTGGCTTCACGGAATATCTCGGACGTTTCTACCTCAAGTCTTCCATAATTATGGAATGGAAAGAAAGTGCTGATTGGGGGGCAACTTATATCAAGAAGGACTACAAGTATGCGCTTAACAATTTCAAGTTTCTTCCACATCAGGATTTCTATGGTAACGATCTCGTGGATGCGGAACTCACAAAACTCAGAAATGAAGGTGTTGATATCCAACGAGCGGCGGAGGCTTGCATGGAATTAGACAATTGTGTGGCCTTCAATAATAATTTGTGGTTCAAGGATTCTGTGCCTCCAAAAAGTGTAGAAGATTTCGTAGATGGGGGAACTTACGTAAAGAACGACAACCATGATGGTCGACACTTGACGGCAGAGTTCTCGTACAGTGGAGGCATCGTGTCGTCTGAGGAAATGTCCCGTGGCCTCCAAGAAGATTCTTCCGAGGAATTAGGTAATAGTCCCTTTGCCACGACTATTCGGCTTTCGATCGAAGATCTCAACGGAGGGAGCCTTTCTTCTCCTGCATCCACTGTTGAATGGAGCAGAAAAGTTGGTATTGGAGTTGCCGCAGTTGGTTCAGTGGTTGCATTGCTCTAAAGAAGTTTTTTTTGTGCCGTTTTGAAGGAGCAAAGCAAAGAGTACAAGAGGAGTGAATACCGGACAGAGGCTGTGATTATAAGAGCTGGATGGAGAGCTCATATTTCAACTAAATAGAGAATAAGATAGTGAACACTTTATTTTCCTCAATCAAACTCACGTGGATCGGGTTGGGGTTGGGGGTTGGCAGCGCGTGTGCTCAGCATGCACAATGTCGCCGGTTCGGTTCCGGCAATCTCCAGCCATTGACATAGCTTTTTGGGGATGTGGTTGGGTTGGGGTTGGGGTTGGGGTTAGATAGCTTCTCCAAGCTTATAACTCCATAAGTTAGGTCGGGGTTGG